TTGTTTCCGTAGCTCGGAGCCGGAGCTAGACGTGGGGATGGGTAGGTATTGTCCCTCGGGCTGTGGTGGTTGGCGTTACCCCCAGGGCCAGCCGGTTTAAGTGAACTTTAAAGTTCTTTGTAAGTTCAGCAAACTAGAGGTCCTAAGTTCGAAGTCTCACCTAAATGATTCTGTCGCTCGTCGGTCGAATCGGTTATATAGCCTTGGTCGAATCGAACAATAAAAAATAACATACACACACACACAAGGACACACTTTTTTAACCCCGTACTTTGCTGTGTGCCAAGTTTTTGTATAAATTTAGGTCAAAAAATGTTTGAATAAACGAATTAACAGAACCGGAGCCCGTGGCTCTGTTAATTCGTTTCGGCAAAAAATTTGTAGAGCTAAAATGCGATGAACGAAGTGATGTCCAGCTGTAGCATTGGAAGTCCACTTCCTTGCCGATTTGCGTTCCTTGCCAAAGTGCAATGCACATCAGGGATGCACATAGCAAATGCTGAGAAAAGTCTGGCGGAGTAAATGCATTCGCTCCTATGATTCGCTGCACTGGCGGTCGCAGCCGCTAGCAAAAGGGGGGGCCAAAGTCACACTCGCGGGACATAACATTTATCCGTCACCGGGAGGGGGGGGGGGTGATCGGCTAATTTTTTACGTCCACGAGGTGCCGCGCAGTTGGCATTACTTATGCTTCATCCATCTGATTCTTGCGTGAAATCTTTAAGCTCAATTTAAGGCAAAATCACCAGTTCCATTCCCCGTCCCACGGTGCTTCCACCTGTCGGCCCACTGCACCATGACGACGGATCGGTGTAGCATAGGTATACTGGAAGGTCAGGCACGGGGATTCATGACCTTACCACTATAAAACAATTCGGAAAAGTACAGATACCTCTTGCTTAGAACAAGCATGTGAAACCCAGAGAGCATTTTCAGACTATGACATTTACCCATATAGGTAACATACCTAGTTGTGTGGTGGCGGAAGAGAGTAGGTACACCGACCTCTGGAGACCCCCCACAGGTTCCGAGCTTTCAAAATTGGCATCTGAGGGCCGCGCGCGACTCCTGCGGGCTTCGCAACGGCTCTATTGGGGCTCACTCAACCTGCCTAGTCTTACTAAAAGACTGGCCCTGAGCCCTAAGGACTTCATCAGTCTCTGCCAGCCCCAGGACCCACACCGGCTCATGGGGTCCCGACGTCGAAATATGAGGGAATCTGCGCGGGACCATCAGGACGTAAAGTAATCTCGATCAGGACCAACACAAGGCTGTGCCGGAGACTGCGTGAGCCCTCTGATCTTCAGAAACCCACCCATGTATGTTTTCACGTAGAGGCCAGTTTAGGGCCCGCAGAGACCAGTACAGGGCCTGCAAACTACAGAGGCCAGTAGTTTGAGACAATCAGTGACCGAGTTGGGCTCTCAGAGGCTAATGTGGGTCATTACAGGCCAACATGAGCCCTCAGAGGTCAGCGTGGGGCCCTAAAAGACCGGCATGAGCCGTCGTTGGACCCCAGAGGCCAGCAGAGGGCCCTCAAAGGCTAAGATGGGCCCTCCTCAGAGGCCAATGCAGGGCCTTAAGAGGCCGGCATCGGGTCTTCAGCAGCCAGTGCGGGGCCCTCATTGGCACCTAAAGGTTCGTCTTGGGACACCACAGACAGAAATAAGGCCACCAGAGACCGGTGTGAGACGCTCAGACGCCGGTTGGGACCCCTGAGGCCGGTTAGGGGCCCTCATAGGCCAGATGTGGGGTCTCAGAGGTTGATGTAGGCTCTTAGCGGTCAACGTGGGCGCTTGACCGCCACTGAAGTTCCCTCAGAGGTCAGTGTAGGACGCTCAAAGACCGGTGTGGGAGCTATATTAATAGCTGGGCGTGTTTTTTTTAGCCTCGTGACGATCGAATAATTGCCAGGGCCCCATACACCTATATGGGGGCCCATTGGTTGTTTGAGGTGGGGGGGGGCAAATGATATGATGGCCCCCTTTATTGACCTTTGGGGGGGCATGGCCCTGATGCCCCCCCCCCCCCGCGACCGCCACTGTGTACACATTACAGACATGCCTCTGAGATTACATACTAGCTCATGCAAACTCTATGCAGGCCCTGGAGTTCCCAAGCTAATCCTTAAGAAACCAAGCCGGCATACGGCGTCACCACCGGGCTTCTGATGTGCACAGCACCAACCCATGAGGTCTTTCTTTAGTGTCTTAGAGCCAATCTCCTTTAGCAGGGCCCACCCACCACTGCCGAAGGGGGTCTCATGCCAGCCATTGCTGGGTCTACGAGAGCCTCAAGTAAACCCACGCTGATATTCCATATAAGATCCGGCCATACTCGTGAACCGGTGCCAGCGACGCTGACCGCCAAATTGACAGAATGCGAAACTGAGCCCACTCATGAGTGAAATTTACGTCCTTTGATGGCGCGAGAAAGAAAATGAATCATACGAAAAGCTTTTCTAGGACTTTTGTTCGATCTGAAAGGTGGGGCCAAAAGATAGTATGGCCCCACCTTTCAGCACCAAAGGGGGGGCCATGGCCCCCGTGGCCCCCCCCCCTGGGACCGCCAGTGATTCGCTGCGTAGTTTCCACTTATAGATTCTGCGGCTTATTGGTCAGTACCCGTGACGTAATAAGTTTCGTATGGCGGTGTAGGCGCTTTTGATTATTTGTCGCTTGTCATTGCTGCGGCGTATTCGGCGTCTTTTGCGAACTTTACAAAGGAGTCGGTGGGCGGATCCGGATCACTGAGTCGCTGCATTGTTTGATTCCTTGGTTTGATTTTAATTTTTAATTTTCGGTCATTGGATGATTAAGAAGATGGCGCTCACACAAAAAAGTGCCAACAAGATCTTTGGTGGATGGCAAAAGGTGTTTTCACACAAGAGCGCTGAACTGAAATGCGCTATGAACTTCGGAGTCTTTTTGCCGGCTCAAAGTGAGACTGAAAAGTGTCCTGTGATCTATTGGCTGTCAGGCTTGACCTGCACTGAGCAAAACTTTGTGACAAAGGCTGGTGCTCAAAGATATGCTGCCGAAAAGGGTGTCATTCTTGTTGCTCCTGATACGAGTCCAAGGGAATGCAACATTGAAGGGGAAGATGAGTCGTGGGACTTCGGAACAGGTGCTGGATTTTATGTTGATGCCACTGAGGAGAAGTGGAAGGAGAACTACCGCATGTACTCCTATGTGACCAAGGAACTACCCCAGCTCATCAGTGAGAATTTCCCTGCCAATGGAAAACAGAGCATCATGGGACATAGCATGGGTGGCCATGGGGCTTTGATTTGTGCCCTCAAGAACCCAGGCATGTACACATCTGTGTCTGCCTTCTCACCGATATGTAACCCAACCCAGTGCCCGTGGGGACAGAAGGCCTTCACTGGGTACCTGGGCTCCGACAGAGCGACGTGGCAGGGCTATGATGCCACTGAGCTGGTGAAGAGCTACAGCGGCCCTGCCCTGGACATTCTGATTGACCAGGGATCTGAGGACGGATTCCTGAAGGATGGCCAGCTCCTTCCTGACAACCTGGTGGCTGCCTGTGCCAAGGCCAGCATGGCTGTCGACTACCGGCTGCAGCCAGGCTATGACCACAGCTACTACTTCATTGCCACCTTTGTGGGTGATCACATTGCCAAACATGCTGAGGCTCTGAAGTGAACATGGCTCACTGGCGCTGCAACATGAATCCAGGATTGCTGTGATGAGCAACTGCATTACTATTTTCTTTATTTGGGGATACCTGTATTCATTCAGATGGATTGCTGTCTAAGGTTGTCAGCAGTTGCATTAAGGGCTAACTGTAGGACTAACAGTAAGGACAAGCACAGTAAGGGCTAGTGCTTGATATACATGTTAAACATGTGGGCTAATACATCAAAGCAATTGTTTGCTGTTTTTGTATGGGATGGAAGTTGGGTTTTGGTGGTAGTTGGAAATTGGAATGGTATATGGATCATTTGTATGATACATCTAGTGTGTTCACTTCAAAGTAAGTTCTTTCATGATCCACAACATGGGTGGATAGTTTGTTGTCCTTATGTGCTTATCACTGAAAAATATACATTAACCCATCTGTACACACTTCCGTCGTGGCACATCGAAGGGTAGGGTGGAGGAGCGCCCTCTACCGGGCTCCTGGGCCATGGAGCGATAGCAGCATTCGTAAAGTAATTCATAACCATGCAGAAGTGTTTTGGGCTTGGGCTCAGGTCATCTAAGAAGATGTCACCCGAGATTACACGAGGCAAATTTTTAGGTTTCAGAAGTTCTTAGACAGAAATCGGTAGCTCATGTGAAACGTTTCGGTAATGTTTCCCATAATTGACCTGAGGTCAGTGGCCTGCTTCCATAGGACAAACATCTTCCGTTTGAATCGATAGTGCTGTGAAGGACGGTTTCAACATTGACGTCTGACAAAGCTTGTGCCACCTTCCTCAAATTAATCAGCTCCTTGGTCCTTTTCTTCGTTGTATGCTAAATGAGCGAGGCTGATCTTCAAAATATTGACTTGACCAGAAAAGATCTTATGGTGTATTGGTCAATCCGTTTTGTCGAACGGAACGCATCAAAACATTTCCATCGGTCTTGCGTGCATTTTTTTTTTTGCTGAAAAAGAAACCATTGTCGAAAAACTACTGGCATTAGGTGTATGACAAAGCCAGGCCTAAGCCCTCACTTTTTTCTTAAGAGAAATTTAACATTTCGTATCCATTGAAAAACTACATAACAATGCTTGAGAGGACTTGCTTAGTGTCTTTCGTCCGAATTCAGACTTTTGTCGTGTCAACAGCCCTGGACGGACGTATAACGTACTAGTTAGTCGGTGCTCCCTTCTCACCGTACATCGTCCAGTGTTTTCGTCTCCCCGCCCAGTATTCCCGTCTCCTCGCCCAGTGTCCCCGCCTCCCCGCCCAGTGTCCCCGCCTCCTCGCCCAGTGTACCCGCCTCCTCGCCCAGTGTACCCGCCTCCTCACGTACGCCGTCCGGTTTCAGCCGAGTGGCGGCCATGCTGGCCTCTGTGACCCGCTCTCTGCAGCTGGTGAGGCTGGGCCAGAGGGCGCTGCCCGCCGCCGCGCAGCCCCTCCGACACATCAGCAAGGACATCCGCGTGCCGGATCCGGGCGTGGGTGTACAGTACCGGTACCGGGTACAGCTGCCGGAGAAATACACCATCAAACGGCTGCCCATCCAGAAACTGGCCGGCCGGGACCCCGAGACAGGTACCGGCCCGGGGCGGCGGGAGCGGACGGCACGGTGTGCGGGCCGCGGGGGGGGGAGGGGGATACCCCGAGACAGGTACCGGCCCGGGGCGGCGGGAGCGGACGGTACGGTGTGCGGGCCGCGGGCCGGCCGGGACCCCGAGACAGGTACCGGCCCGGGGCGGCGGGAGCGGACGGCACGGTGTGCGGGACGGGGGGGGGGGGAATACGTCCTATATCGGTAGTCACGAGCTGAGTGTTCCTCCTTCACGCTAAATATGTATACTGATGCATCGGCACATGTCATTCCAGTCAAAAAGATATAATATCTATACTCGGCTGCTCTCACCTGACTAACCTTTCGATTTAGAGTGCACCTTATGTATGAGGCATGAGCATCCCTCGCCTGCGATATAACAACCGTCGGATGTCTGTGTCGTTGTCTGCCCACCCCCAGTCTCTCAGTGAAGGCTCCACAGCGTCGGCTCCCGTTCTCGGCGACTCCTGACCACCGGTGGCGCCACCTATCAGAGCCTGTGTACCCCCGCCACCGCTGCTGGATCGTCCTCCCCGCCTCCCCCGTGACCGCTCTCCTCTCCGCCAGGCCGGGTGGTGGTCGTCCTCCCCGCTCCCCGTGACCGCCCCCCTCGCCGCCAGGCCGGGTGGTGGTCGGCACGCTGGGCGGCGGCAGCAAGCAGAAGTTTCGCTGGGTGGACCCGGAGCGGCCGCCGCTCAGCGACGGCTCGCCGCGCCGCGAGCGCGTCCTCCAGCTGGTGTACGACGCGCTGCGCACGTGCACCGTGGCGCTCGTGGCGCACGGCGAGCACGTGCGCTACGTGATCGCCCACGAGGTGAGGCGGGAGGTCGGAGGACGCGATTCTCAGGTTTTCGGCGGGAGTAATAGGCGGCTCGGACCTGCAGAATGGTTTGTAGAATACCGGGTGGTTAGTAGTCTGCCAATCATGTTGTGCTTTGATGTTTGGCTCATAATTGGTGTCAATGTGATCCTCTTGCTTACTTTCTTCATTTGTATATCAATATGTAGTAAGGGTTTAATGACTTCTATGCTATCTCACCCTGGATTCCCCCAAGCGGCCACTGTCCGTCGTTAACCGCCGTGCTGGCTCACCCGCCCGACAGGGTATGAAGGTAGGGGACATCATCACCACCTACGGCGACATCCCGCGCATCCCCGTGCGGCCGACAGTCGGCGACGCCCACCCGCTGGGCGCCCTGCCCGCCGGCACAGAGGTCTTCAACATCCAAAAGTACCTCGGAGAAAAGGACAGGTCAGTGGCAGCGCACGGGAATATCGGATATCGGGCTGATTCCCCACTCGTTAGGGAAGGTTTAGCCAAGTGGACTAGTTGTGATCATTTTGAACAACGGTTTGTTTTGCTGTGGACTTTTTAAAACTTAATTCTGACTGTTCTCTCAAAAGTTTTTGGTAAAATATGTTTGTGATGAAAATCACTGGTATGCTAGCTGTCTTTTTGTTCTCTCACTGGAGCTACAAACCGTCTCTGCTGTACCTAACCTGCGCCGCGCTGTGTGGCCAGGATCTGTATAAACGGCGGCACCTACTGCACCGTGCTGAGGAGGGTCGGGGACCGGGTCATCGTCATCTCACCCTCCAAGCGGCAGTTCTCGCTGCGTCAGGAGTGCACCTGTGTCGTAGGTGAGTGGATGGCCGTGGTCCTGATCCGCCGCCGGCGCCCGCACTGGGGGTGGGCCGCGCCAGGAGTGTTCTTAAACAGTAGATGCCCTGTTACTTGAGCGGATTACGAGAATCTGTTGTTTGGCCTCTCGCGTAAAAATGCCTAAAGCTTCACTTGCCAATGCTCATGAGCTCTGGCCATGAGCTCCCCGCTCGCGTACAATCGCTGCTCTGTTTAACACCACCCACTGCCGTCACTGTGTTGACCCAGACCCCCTCCCCCAGGCCGGGTCAGCATGCGCTTCCCCAGCATCCGACCGATCGGCTCGGCGCAGCGACTCCGCTGGCTCGGCTACCGGCCCCGCTCCGGACTCTGGCAGCGCAAGACGGGCCGCTTCGGCCGCAAGCTGCGCCGGCCGCCGCCGGTGCGCGAGTTTAGCGTGCCGCCGGCGCCGCCGCCCGAGGTGCTGACACTCAGCCTGCACGACGTGCACGTGCACGACCCGAGCAGCCAGAGCCAGCTGGTGAAAACGTTCCGCGGCAGGAGCAACTAGCGCAGTCGGGGACCTCGGCCTGACAGGAGGTACGGACAGGGATGGTTTGAAGGGACGCTGGTGCCGAGAGGGGAAACGAGTAAATGAAAGTGAAAAAGTGCGTGAATGATCAGTGAACTGGTACCGGGGTGTACTGGGGCTTGAGAGGGGAGCGAAGCATGAGAGAAGTGTTTTGCGAGTCCGATCGATGCAGTAGAGGCTGCACCGAGTAGTTGTAACTTGTATGAACTATGGTATTCGCTGCAACATTGAAATACAAACAAAACATGCTTGAAATTACTACCCTCGTTTATTTTTCAGCTTATGGAATTTTTATCAGTATAGGGTAGGTGCCCCCAGTTCCTCACTTGGAGCCCGCTCGAACGGGCACCTGCTTGACCGTACGGATACCGTACAGTATGGTGAAAATACTCACTGGCAGCTCAGAGTGCACGTTTTCTCAGACATCTGTCGCTGCTCTGGATTGAACAATAACATACCTATTGCATATGCCGGTACACGGGCACATTCCGCTGCGTCGTTCGTCCTCTACTTTCCCTAACCCTTTCATTATAGTGTTTTCTGAAAGGGATTGTCTTTTCTTTGACTGGCCAAGAACTCTAAATCCCCTGACATCGCCATTCCATCAACCACCCCCGCCCCAGGGTATCGGGTACTACCCCCGGACCATGGGTACCGGGTACTACCCCCGGGCGATGGGTATCCGGAAGCAGGAGGTTCTGTAGGTGACGACTGCCAGCGCGGCCGCCAGCGCCGCTGCCAGGACGGCCAGCAGTGCTATGGCGGCCACCCCGCCGCCGCTGAGGCCCGCCGGCCGCGGCTGCTGCCAGCAGGAGGCCCGGCACGGCGTCTCCAGCAGGAAGGCGCTGAGCGCCGTCTGCAGGGCGGCAGAGGGCGCCGGGTCGGGCCCGCAGCCGGCGGTAGCCGCGCGCGACACACACTGCCAGCTCGAGTCGCGGATCGCGCTGTCGGAACGGGGCCACAGGGCAACGGCTGAAGCGAAAACAGCGGCACGCAGTGTATGGGAATCGAGAATTAGCATAATATCATCAAACGTCAACAGCATTGGGAAGGGTGCATCCACGATTAATTGAGCATTTAATCATCATACGGAAGCTAACGCCTCCTCCTTGTTATCTTTTCCTACAAGGTAGCGTTTCCTGTACTGTCCCTGAGCCATTCAAGTCCCGAGTATCGGCTCACCGGCACTCGTCGGCGTCGAGCTGCACTCGCAGCAGGTCGGCCGGCTGGTAGACGGTCGCCGAGCTCTCCAGGCAGCGCAGAAACTGAGCCGGCTCCCAGCACGGCGTCGGTCGGATCAGCGCTGAAACGATCAGCGCACAGGTTTCATCAGTCTATAGACTAGAACGGTAGACTGGAATTTCCAGGGTATATTTTCATTAATCGCTTGTCGTTAATGTGTTTTCTTTGTACCTGCTCCCTGTTTGCTCTGCTTCTCTCACGAGCAAAACAATCTAGAGATTTCACGTGCCCATGACTACGCCCAACACGCCCCCGATCCGGTCGTAAGTCTGCCCACCAGCGCCGCTTACTTTGCATGTTAGTTGCGTCGTTGGCGCACAGATGGCTCTGCACGCTGCGCAGACCACGCAGCCAGGCGTCGTACGTGAGCCGGCCGTCCGGGGCGCGGCAGTCGCCGTCTATGATGTCTGAGGTACAGTTGAGCGCATCGTCCAGGGTGCTGGGGGCGCCCAGAGCAGGGTTATCAGCTCTGCCACTCTGCCAATAGGCGCAGATAGGTGCACATCCGTTTACCGGGCAATGCAGGACGGGGGTCGTGGACGCTGCTGGGAAGCGGCACACTCCAATGCCGACAGTTCATCAAATTAAATTATTTTCATTTCGTTTAATTTTGATTCTTATTTATAACTCCAAATGCAACATACAAAGTAACAAAAAAGGTCAAACGTAGGTGTCTGTTTTGTAAGTCAGATAGGTAAACGAATTTTTGAAGACCGGTATAAAACGATGCGTATTAGCAAATTGCACGTAGGACGTAGGTAGCATTTAGTGGCACAGCTTGCGAGCTAAACAGTTTTAACGATAGAGCATTTATGTGGAGTGTTAGCCGGGCCCGATACATTTTCATAGCTATTAAGACCATGCTGCACATGTTTCCTCTTCGGATCCGGCTAATTGTCCTAGTTAGGTTCCTTTTTTGAGTGCAAGCTGATAAACTATTTGCTTTAGTGCGTAGTTAGCTGTATTTATTTATCTGCCCCATCAAATCGTTACAAAAAATCTGGGGCAACAACAGTTGTTCATATTGATGAGCGTTTACCACTTCAAGTTATCGAATTGCGTTCACGATTTTCACACTGCCACTTCCCGGCGCAGTCCACGAGTAACTATGGGCGTCTACACGTCTCCCGTGTCACCTTTCGGCCCGGTTTCGGCCAATCATCCCAGTCACCTGTCAGGTTTACGGCACTGTTGCCATGACGACCGGCTGACGGGGAGGGCTGAGTGGCCGGTCACATGTCAGTCGTGTGCAGAACAAACAGCTCAATTTGCGTCTGCTGATCGCTCACTGTGTCAGCTGGGCTGACAGTCGATCCGACCGAGAAAACGCCGAGGAAAGTCGGGACGCGGGTCACTAACATTACATACAGCACTGGCCACGGGATCTGGCGACAGGACGGCTGCGTGCGAGAGACTCAGGAAGTGTTGATTAGTGGTGGGCATTGGGACTGAGTTCTCCAGCAACGATCTGCACAGTCAGGAGGAATCGATCTGCGACTCGCACCGCAGGCTCCGTTCTGGATGAGATTGTGAGATGCTTGCTGTGAGCTCAGTCGTCTTGTCGTGAATCGTGGCTTCGTACGATTTGTGAGGAGTTTTTAGCCCGTGACACACCACTGGACTTGGAGTGTGTGCCGGCGCTGACCAGGCCGTCAGTCTGCGGATAGGTACCATTGCTAACTACACGGCGAACTTGAGCACAACTGCGATCGGGACTCCCCGGCGCGCCGTCAGGTGAGTCCGTCGGCCTCTGATTTTTAAGCCAGGCTGCGCTCACCTTTTTTAGCCCTCTGCATTTCAGCTCTAAAGACATCCAAAGATATTCCCGTTTTCAAGCGGCCTAGTCCTATTGCAAATGGCCTAAGTAGTCCATTTAGAAACGGCCCATGCCCGGTTCCAGGTCGATTACAGACGACCCCCGACTGCTGTCCCGCCCTCTTACTAGCACATGTCGACGGCGTCCCTGCCGGCGCAGTTCACGCCGCCCCGCTGGCAGGCCAGGTCCCTGGCCACCTCGTCGAAACACTTGGCCGCGATCGCGGGCATACAGTCGCCGCCGCCGTCTGCAGGGCGAGCAGGACGGGCCAGGTCACTGAGGGGGTACGAGAGAGACAGAGGGGTTGGTGAGGGTCACACTGTTGTTTCTACTCCCGCGGAATGCGGACTTCTCCGTCTGTTGCTAGCGGCGAATAAAGCCGGGCGTAATTGGCAACCTGCTCTTTATTAGGTTAACCCGCGCCCCAGTGGCGGTCTCCGCCAACCTCGCCCTAGTGGGGGGGGGGGGGGGGGCATATGTTACCACCCACCTCTAACTCAAAAACTAAGAGGGCTAGAAAGACGGTAAAAAGCAGTCGTAAGCTCTCAAGCGTACGTTTGAAAGTATTTCAGTCATTTTTCATCTTAGAGCAATATTGGGGTCACCAGAGGTCATCAAAGGTCAAAATTTGCCAATGGTCACTATATTTTTCAGAAAACATGCTGTTATCTCAGGAACTATGGTAGCTAGAAAAACGCATGGAAAAGCAATCGATAGCTCTTGAACTCTTCTTTTGAAAAGGTCATAATCAAAATTGACCTCAGGTCATTGGCTTAGCCTCCAGAGGGCAAAAACTCCAAAAATAGCAGTTTTTACGAAAAGTGTTTTTTGACAATAACTTTCGACAACAAAAAGCCACGACATTTCTATTGCCAGAATCGTGTTCCTCTCGCCGAGACGTGTCGAATGAACTATAATTTGACCTTGAAAGGTCAACTTGAAAATTTGACCTCAGGTCAAGGTCATGACCTGACCGGAAAAGGTCATGTTGCATATCAAACGATGCGTCTCGGCAAGAAAAACACAATGAGACCATCCCCAGCGTTCTATCTCTTTCCAATCGCGAGTTATTGGCAAAAATCTGTTTGTAGCCTCAAATGACCTCGGATGACCTTTCTAGAGGCTATCAGCAAAAATGACACCCTGGTCATCACGGGTGGTCCAAATAATTGTGATTCTGAAATATTTGGACTGTTTCTATGCGTACACACGGATCTAGAGGCATTTTCATTTTTCTCCATTGACTTGTAATGGAAAGGTCACGTCACTGACCTGACCTTAGGTCACGGATATACAAAATCCGAGATATACAAATTGTAGGCGCCCATAACATCATGCAATCCACTAAGTTTAAAACCTTTCTGACAAACTGCAGGCTGGACATGATTGCAAACTTTTTTTTAGGCTTGGTCAGTTAACTTGACCTGGTGACCTGACCTGACATGATCTGGGGTCAAAAATTTCACACATTGTCCAAAATTGATGTACCAAAAGCTACCCCAAGCGGCGCGGCGCTACGCGCCGCGGTTTTTTTTTATTTACACGCAAGAAACGCGACAGGGTGGTAACATATGCCCCCCCCCCCCACTGGGGCGAAGGTTAACAGAGTGGACGCTGCCGACCGAACAGGCGCTGGGTCTCCCGGACACTTCCCAGTCATAACCCAAACCGTCTTTTCCCAATTTTCAAATTGCCGTCTTCCTTTGATCCTGACGTGTGTCTGGTGAGACAAGCAGCTGTTTCACCTGGAGTCGATGAGCTGGGCGTGGTGAGAGAGTCTGACCTAGAGTCGGTGAGCTCAGTTGGGCCAGAGAGTCTGTTCTCTCTCACCTGGAGTCGGTGAGCTGGGCGTGGTGAGAGCCGACGCCGTCGCGCTCGGCTGCAGCAGCGTCACGGCCAGGACGGCCAGGAGTAGCGGTCGTCCGCTCCGTGCCTCAGACGACGACATGGTGCCGGGCGAGGGCCTGAGGGGAACGGATCAGCACTGAGCGTAACAGCTAGACGGAGCAGCGGCAGCAGGACTGATCTTGGCGTATTCATACTGCTGTCTGCCATACGGACCCATAATAATCGGAAAAACTCCCTTGATGCCTAACGGTTAGGCCTGGCATCCTCTCGCCACATAAGGGTTCGTCATGCTTCGTCCAAAACATCGCGAATAAGACGGTTCAAGTAAAAAGGGAAAACTGCGATCGAATAC